GAAGGAAATGTTTTGGATATTTTCCCTTGAGGGTAGGAGTCTTGGAAGGTGATCCTTGACAAAAGGAGAAAAAAATTATTTACTAAGTCAAGGTGTTCAAAATTTTATAGAAAAGACTCTAAAACGGTTTTTATCTGAGACCATTTGTCTTCTGTCTTGGGGAGTCACTTGTTGTTAGTAGCCGACTGGTACAGCTTTATAAGTTGGGATAGGGTGTGAATCTTTAATTCTTGGTCCAAGTCAGCTGCATTTTTCTTGTATCGATCAATCAGGCATTGCTCATCGCTTATGTGGCCTTCCAGGACCGACTTTTCTTAATGAAGTACTCTCAATTCTGCCTCTTTTTGTTGGATTGATCCTTCTATTTTCGTTTTGGCGTTTAAGAGGCCTTCCATTCTTCCAGTCGCCTGTTGAATTGATTCATTGGTTTTAGTCAAGGGGAGGAGGGTTTGCTGCCCTCGGGTCGGCGGCTCTCAGGACGGCTGCCTCTAGGTCGGCTGCTCTCAGATCGGCTGCCCGTCGGGTGCGTCTATGGCGGCTGCTGCTGGTTCGTCGGGAGCGATTTGGACGGCCGCATCAGAGATATTTCTATCTTTGGAGGCTACCGCATCAGGGACGACTGCACCAGAGGCTACTGCGGCAGAGGCGGATGCAGGTGTGGCCATTGGTGCCATATTAGGTAGAGATGGGTCGGAAACGACATAAAGTAACCTACCCATCTCTGAAGCAGTCGCCTCACTGTAGGATAAGGCCCCTGTTGTTGCCAGTTCGGCATGTGAAGGCGCTCTCATTGAGGCCCGTCATTTGGTCGGGGGTTCAGGTTTGTGAAGTTGGTCTGTTGGTGGCTCTGCTGATTTGTTTGGGTTTGAAGCAGGTTTGACGGTCGCCCTGGCCGAAGTCGGACCTGAATATAAAAATAAGGATTAATAAAATGGTAAGGAAAGAATCAGATTAAGTTCGGAATATGGGAATATACCTGGGCGAGGTCGGGTCTTTACGGGGGCCAAACCTGATGGGCGGTCTATCAATGTCGGTTGATTATTTCCAGAGAAGAGAATAGCTTGAGTTTGAGAAGCTCTTCTTTTCCTCTGTGGAGTGCCCGATCCAGTGCCCTGAGTGACTAATTTCCTTCAGGTGTTGGTTAATGGGGTCGTCCCTAATATCAACGCAGGCTGAGGTAGGAGAATGCCCAGCAGACGATCTTTGTCAGGAGCAATTAAGGCCCAGGTGACCGACCACCATTCGCGAAAGGATTCAATTGAAGCTGGAGAAGTTCGGAAATGAATGTAGGAGTTGGAAGTTATGTAATTGGTAAGCTGGGATACATAAGGAGCGATCAATTCAGGAATGACTCTCCCATCTGGACTTTGAATTATTAAATGTGGATAGGCGATGGAACCAGGTAAGCCTTGTTGGCATCCGAATTGGCGTGCCAAAAATAGAGGCTGATAGCCGAAGGTATAAAATGCTTTGGGGCTTTTCTTATCAATTTTCTTGCTAATAAATAAAGATCTAGGTTTAAGAGCAGCATCCCAGGAGAAAGAGTAATTTGGATGCGGAAGTGGGTCTGGTTCGGACAAAGGCGAAGATACAGGGAATGGCCAAAACAGGCCGGATGTGTAACCGACGTACTTTCGGTATATGTAGAATCGGGAGTTACTACGGTCGTCGGCTAGAATAGCAGTGATGATAGGGTCGGATGCTTTGAGGGTATTACGACCCAAGCAGAGTCGGTTGATGGCTATTCCCAGAGATTTATCAGGTGTGGGAGCAACGGGGGGATGACCAAGTTGGAACGCGTCGGGAAAGTAGAGACGGAACCATAATTCTAAGAACCAAAAAGGGCCCGATGCGGCGGTATCTAATTTTTTACCGTCCTTATCTGTAAGGCGGGTGCTAACCCTGGATAACCCTTCAAAGAGATTGGCAAGGAAAAGAGTACCTAGAGAGAAGAATCGGCCAGAGGCTATATGTATGGCCAAGTCAAGATGAGAGGAAAGGACGCATTTCGAAGGAGAAACGATGACATACCTACAGAGCCAGAAGAGCAAAAAGGCAGTATGCTCACAGTCGATCACAGGGGTCCCGTCTGCTCCTTCCTGGTCATTTAAAAATTTGGTCCAGCCCCATTCCTTCACACCAGCCAGAGACCAGCCCAAATGGTCTGCATTGGGCTCTTGCCCATCTAGGGCACCCATTACAGGGTCTTCTCTTACAATTGGCAGATGTGCGATCATGGCCACATTCATGAGTGTGGGGCTGATGGGGGCTGCGGGAAGAAGGAAGACGCACATCTCAGGGTGCTAGAACGCCGACAGTGCTAGAAGAACTTTTTCATGTAAATGACATGGGAGCGTAGACAGAAGTATGGCCTGGTCAATGTGTTAGTTTTTCCATTGATCTTGAAAGTGTTCTGCTACCCTTTTGTACCAGGTGCGGTAGGGATCTTTGGGATCTGTTAGATGAGTTTTAGTGCTATCATGAAGACGGATAGCGTTGTAGTTGGGATTGTTGATAGCTAGTAGATTTCCTGCCTCCAAGACCTTTCTCATTCGATTGGAGTCTTCAAGGGTAGTGCAGTATGGGCGAATGGTTGGAGTGAGCATTTTCGTCGTACAAAAGCTATCTCAGGAACTGATCCGTCGAAGGGAAGTGCCGGTATGTATTGATTCGCCATGATTCTGGAGTTGCAAAGATTGAAAAACAATGAAAGCTAATAGCGAGGATGAAGAGTTTGGTGGCACAGAATGTGTTGCAGTAACTGATCGCAGTTGCAGAGGCGATTTCACCAAAGGGGTATGGTTGTATATATATTGCGAACTTCCAAACGGCGATTAAGGAGTGACGTTTGAAAGTCCGATGGCGGTGGGCAAGTTGTTACGTATGAAATTTATAATTAGGTTAAAAAGCCCAAGTTAGAAGAAAATATAGGCCTATAATTGGGTCTGTTGGACTGATCAAGGAGTGTTTCGAGAAAATTGGGTGAAATAGACGTGTTTCTAAGGAAATAGCGGGTCGGAAGGTCCGCAGGTCGGAAAGTCCTCAGGTTGGAAGGTCCCCAGGTCGGAAGGTCCGCAGGTCGGAAAGTCCGAAGGTCGGAAGGTCCGTAGGTCGGAAGGTCCGCAGGTCGGAAAGTCCGCAGGTCGGACAGTTTGTAAGTCGGATGGTCTGCAGGTCGGTTGGTCAATGGGTCGGACGATATGCAAGTCAGAAGGTCTGTAGTTGGGCCAATAAGTCGAATGGTCTGCAAGTCGGGAGGTTTGCGGCTGGACCAATAAGTCGGAAGGTCTGTGGTCGGGCCAACAGGTGGGTTGATTCATAGTTAGATAAGCGATTGTTGGTTGTTGTGGAGGTCGGATACCGCGGAAGGCAAGTGAGAATAAATAGCTTGGTCGGCCGAGAACATGTGTTAGCAAAAGAGGGGTTAACAAACGGTTGAGAGGAGGCGTTGTAATCGTTCGGGCGACGATTTCAAGTACTGTTTCTGAAGAGTATTTAAGGATTGGGATCGGCAACTGACAAATGATCTTCAACATCTTCAAACGACATCAAAGTCAGTGATTTGGGGATCATCATTTAAATTTTCAGTCTTTTACTTTCCAGTTTATTTTCTGTACCGTACAGTGTTTAGAGATTCCTAATCTCAGGCGCTAAATATATCAAATTTGAAGATAATTTCCTATTTTCGGATTTTACCTTTTTATTGTTGAAAAAATATATCAACAACTTTATTATTAAATTTGACAAAGTAAAAAATCAACGTCTAAATATTACTCTGGGATCAATTTTTATTTACCATAAATGTCACTTACTTTATTATATTAAAATATTCATCAACTTTAATTACTAATTAAATTTCTAAAAATACTTCATCCACATTATTACTTTTTTTTTTTACCTTTCAATATTTCTTTTTTTCTTAATTTTCGTATTGAACTCAAATACTCCTACACACATTTATAGTGTGTTTGTTTGGACATTTGATTTTGAATTGATATGTGAATAATAAAAAATTTAAATTTTAATAGTGGCATGATATGATATAAATAGGTGTTGATGTGATATTTTGAATTTAAAATTAATTTTAAATATAATATAAAAAAAAATAAAATAGGTAATTGAGTTAATGTTTTTAGGAAAGAAAAATTTTAATCCCTTCGTCTCACTTAATTTGTCTCATCTTTCTATTTCTATTTCCGCTTGTCTTACATGATTTGTCTTTTTTTTTTCAGAAATATAATTATACACTTTAATCATATTTTAAAATTCATAATTTATAAATTTTTTTTAAAATTAACTATTTAGTTATTTAATCTTAATATATAATTATTTTTACTAATACACTTCTTAATTACTTACTAATTATATAATACTTAGAAGTATGTGTCTAAACTAAATGAGACAATTTAATTGGGACGGAGAAAGTAATAAAATATTTCCTCCGTCTAGCTAGAAAGTATACATATTTTTATTTTGGGACGTCCAAGTAAACATTTTATTAAATATCTCACATTTTTCCAAAAATACCGTTACTTTACATTACATAATTACTTTTACACCAAAAAACAAAGAAAAAATATATCATTACACTATTTTTAACTGTCCACTATAATTAAAATACTAATATTTTTTAAATATCTCGCAAAAAATAAATATTTACTTTTTGTGTGTACGAAAAGAATAGTAAAAATTAATAAAGATACCCTAAACGAACGCACCCTTGAAATATCAACGGACAATGCAACACAAGAATCAACACACGACATATTATATTCATTTAAGACACATGCTGACAACCTATATTTTACAATACTGATTAATTTAAATCAGCATCCTATCCGACCCGACCCGAATTCGACAAGATTTTCTCAACACACACGAAAAAAATCTTCACATAGAAAAAATTACCCAATCGATCAATCCTAATCAACTAATTTTTTTTTTTATTTTTTTGTTGTTTTTTAAAATAAGAACTTCGTAATCAATGAAAACCTAAAAAATCAAACGAACTCTTTGATTAAATTAAGAATAGCATTGGCCCACTTATTCTGCGTCATATCAATCCCATGAAAGCCCACGTCATCAAAACGCCCCTCCACCTGCACCCCTCTCTCCACCAGCTTCTGCACGAATTCCTGCTGCCGGTCTATCAGCGGGTCGCCGCCGAACCCGATCACCAAACACCGGCCCAGGTTCCGAACCTTCTCCCTACCCGCCGCCTCCACAAACGGGTTGCAGAACCGGTGGTCCCGGTCCGCCCCGACCGGCAGCGCCAGCTCCCAGAACAGATCCTGAACCGGCAGCGGAAAAAACGGGTCCGCCGCCAATTTCAACTCGCTCTTCGTCCTCTTCTTCCCGCCAAAAAACGGCTGGTTCAAAATCGTTCCCGCCAGCCTCACCGCCGGCGGCCGCATCTCCGCCAACCGCAGGGCGGCGTTGTAGGCAATGTTGGCGCCGCAGCTGACGCCGTAGAGGTAGCACCGCCGCACGTCGCCGATATCTTTGATCCACTTATCGCCGGCGCCGGCGCCGGCCTGGTCCCGGACCCAGGCGACGGCGTCGAGCGCGTCGTCGTACTGCGCCGGGAGACGGTGCTCCGGCGCGAGGCGGAATTCGACGGCGACGAGGACGGCGGAGACCTCGGCGGAGATGCGGTTGCAGTTGTCGTGGAGGAGCGTGTCGGCGATGCTCATCTGGATCCAGCTCCCGGGGTGGAAGTAGATTATGATCGGGAGCTTGGGTCCCGGGACCTGCAGCTTGGCGGGGCGGTAGATTCGCATCCACGTTTTCTTGTCGGCGTTGAGGGTGACGTCTTTGCTGAGGACGGCGTGGCCGACGGCGGACTCGCCGGTCGCCGGCGATTGGGGGAGCTTGCGGTGGCGCGTGAGTGTACCGTCCTTGTTTAGGGCCACGTTGAGGTGCTCGTACGGATCGAATTTCGACTGCATTTTTTTTTATTTTCTTATTTTCTACGTATAAATTATACGTATATGTGTGTATGTATGTGTTGGGTATGTAGTGAATGAAATTAATTATTGTAGGTTGAAATTGGGTATGATATAATGGTCTGAAAAATAGGGGGATTTGTGGTTTTCCTTTGACTTTGTTATTTGGAGGTTATTAAATAAGTGGTTTTGGTTAGTTTTACTTGTGCTTAGTGGCTGATAATTTTATTATTATAAATATTTTTTAATTTCATTAGCTTTATGGTATGGTATTTTATAGGAGTAATATTTATTTTTTACTTTTTTTTTTATTAAATACTTTTACTAAGTCTTGGTCAATTGCTAGAATTAGATAATAATGAATATAGAAAAAAAAAGAATGGATTTATTATACTCCTTTCATCAAATTTCTATTGTCCTAAAGTATATTTGCACGATTTTTCAGATAATTATCTTTTTGTTATAAATTGACAAATTTGTCTTTAATTATACGGTAGAGATTAAAAATAATAAATGAATTAAGGATAAAAATATAAAATTTGTGTTTAAAAAAGAAAATAGGATAATAGTTGTTGGACGTCCCAAATAAGAAAACATTACATTAATTTGTGGACGGAGGGAGTAGTATTTTTTATGATATGGAGAATTGAAAAAGTATTATAAAAAATATTAATATTTTATGTCATTTATGTTTATTTTTAGGATTTTTTTATTGACTTTGTTATTATATATATAGATATTTGTATATTATTCTTCCTTATGTCAATTTCAAAATTATACATGAATTTTTTTATGCGGGATTTAAAAAATAATACTTCCTCCATCCCAAAAGTATAGTATTATTGTATGTTGGGCACGAGATTTAAAGAATATTAATATTATATTGGTAATTGGTAAAAAATAAGGATAAATAACTTTTTTGCCCTTATGAATATATTAGTGTAAAAAGTAGTGACAATTGTGTAATAATAATGAAAATGTAAGGATAATTTTATGGTGATATGGTTATTTATGGAAATGAGACTATTGTTTTGGCACAGACAAAAATGATAAACAAGACTATTGTATTGAGAGAGAGAGAGTAATATTTTAGTTGTAATAGATATTTGAAAATAGTGTAAAAATAATTTTGATTTTACTTTGTTTTTTGTAGAAGTAATAATGTAAAAGTAAAATAAATGTACCGGTATAAAATTTTGAGTTCATAGTTAATAAAAAAGAAATAATTATTTTATAATTAGATAATTCAAAATAGAAATATGTATAGTATGTAAGTGAACAAAGAAGATATATTATATATTTTTTAGTAATATTTTTTGGAATAGTATCACCTTCGAACATAAAATATGTGTTTGTTTGTAGGATTAATTAATTTTGTGTTTTGGATTTTAATTTTGAATAATTAAATAGAATTTTAATTGAATATAAATAGCTATTTATTTAATATTTTAAATAAAAATAATTTTTAATATTATATGAAATTAAGAGTTGAATTTGATTTTTTTTTTCTTCTTACATATTCAATAGTAATTTGATTGAGGATGTTTGGAATAGAGTTTTTTTTTTTTTTTTTTTTTTTTTTTTAAGAACTTTTAGCTATTTGACTAATAAAAAAAACTAAGTTTTGAAAAGCTAATATACCCAGTGTTTTAGAAGAATTTTTTCATTTTAATTTTAGTTATTCATTATTTACCTTTAAAAATTATTTATTTATTTTATACATATAAATATATTTTTATTGTATTATTTATTAATTATTTTTAATATATTTAATTTATTAAATTTTAATTTTATTTTTATAAATTTAAAATAATTACTATTATTAATTATTACATATAAATAATTGTATTTGTAAAATATATAAATCTATTAAAATTAAATCAAATAGAAAAAATAAATATTATTAATTTGTTTATATATTTTTATTATATAAATTTTACATTAAAAGTTAATAAACAATAATTAATAGAATAATAAAAAATATATATATAAAAAAAATTTATTATTTTATACTTTACACAATTTCAATAAAAAATTATTATTGTTTTTTAATAAAAAAATTCTTCTCAAATCTAAAAAAAACAAATAAAAATAAATATTTTATAATATTTTTATAATTTTCAATAATTAATAACGAAAATTTTCATAAATTTTAAACCAAAATAAATAAAATTAAATATTTTCATAAAATAATATATAAATGTCCTTAATTGTCATTTTGCGTATAAATACTTAATGTCAAATAGTTGTTTTGCCAAACACTTTGATACAAACTGCTAATTAAATCGACTAATTGAATCAACTAACAACTAACAGCTAATTGAATTAGCTAATTGCAAAATCGCATCCCGAAACTTACAAACAAATAGAGCGTAACTGAAGATACTGTTTTGTCTTCTTTACTGTACAAATTACTATTATTTATTTCATATATATAAAATATTATAAGTGTGTTTTCCAACATATATTTACACAAAATATATAATACTTTTTATGTCGGAATTGAATTGACTCTTTTCATTAGTGACATAGTATTTAAAGTAATGAGATTTAATTAATTAATAATATGAAATTAAGATATTATTTTATTATTATTTTTTTATGTGAGTAGTATTGTTATAGTTTTAAAATAACAAGTAATATATATTATTAAAATAAATTTAACATATATATGTGTTTAAATATTTTAAATATTATTTCTCAATAAATATATATATAGATATCATTTTTTAGAGAAAAAAAATTATAAATAACACAAATAAATAAGAATATTTATTTATTTATAATTAAAATAAACTAATTGTATAAAAAAAAATAATTTTAAATATAGATAAAAATATTTGCTTATCGAGAAGAAAGATAAAAATAAAGAATTTTGAATAAGTCGTATACGATATATTATATTATATGTTATAAATTAATTAAATTGATTTATATTTGCTATGTAAATTTATATTTAATAAATTTTTACCAAAAATAAAAACTTACCAATTGAAGTGAAATAAAAAAGAAAAAGAAAAAGGAGAGACTATGGAAATGAGGCCGAAACAACACACCTTATATAAATAATTATTTGTCTAAGTCTTTACTCGTATATTTGGTTTAATGTCGCCATCCAGTGTTGATTTATTCATTACCTAGAAATTACCTATACATCATATGCAAACAATTTGTCTTTCCATTGAATTCTTTGTGTTCTTTTTGTAGATTTTTTAAAAAATACTCTCACCGTCTCACATACCATGTCTGCTATACCGTAGACACGGTATTTTAGGAAGGATGTATTTAGTAGATAATTAAAAATGTATTAGTGAAAATAATTATTCTATAATATAAATAATTATAAATTAAAATTAAGATAACTAATTAGTTTAATTAAAATTAAAAAAAATAAATTAAAAAGTTTAAAATGAGATTAAAATGTGTAATTATTTTCCAAAAAAGGAAAGTGACATGGAATGTGGGACGGATAAAAACGGCAACTGGACATGGTATGTTGGACAGAGGAAGTATTATTTTTTTTTAAAAAAATATTAAATCAAATAAATATTTTTTGGTTTTTTTTCTTAATATTTTAGTTTTTTTGTGTAAGATATGATGAATTGAGTTAATAATATAAAAAGTAATATTTTATACTGAATTATTGATTTTTGTGATAGAAAGAATATAAATATTATATATATATGGAGAATTGTGTTAGAAAAAATTTAATTGAGTGAAAAGATTATTTTATATTATATTAAAAATCAATTCCATATTCAAAATATTGCGTTACTATTTATTTATATCACGTCAAATAATTATTAAATTCAAAAATCAAATAAAAAACAAACACACATGAACTTATCGCTTGTTTCTATAGCTATGATTTGCTTTGCAATTTGGGGACAAATTTGTATCCCTTTGTTCAATGCCAACATTTCATTCAATATTATTCTAAAAATTTATTAAATAATGTTAAAACTAAGATATATATATATATATATATACATTCATCTACAAACATAATTCATATTTTAAAACTTTCATATACTTCATTCGTTTCGAATCAATATATTTATATTTCCATTTTAGTTTATTTCAAAATTAATCCGCTTGTCTCATTTTTTTAGTAGTTATCCTTTCCGTATCATTTTTAAAAAAATTGTTGAGGACTCTGGTTTACGAATAAATAAATTAGTAATGCATTTCCCTAATAATTTAAATTTTTACGTGAAACAATCATTCTGTGCATCCGATATAATAAATATTTACATTTATCTATAATTATATGAACTCGATTAACTTACATATAAAATATTACTAAAATTTCTAAGGCATAATTATCCTTTCAATTATCTATTGTACTATATTCATATAAAATATAAATATTTTAAAATTTACATGTGAAAAAATAAGCAAGACAGACACGTACCGAACAAAACGCAATTAGAATAAGGGTTAATTATATAACATTCTTTTGTGTTTTAATAAAAATGTACAAAATATTTTGTGTTTTATTTATTGCGTGAAACCTCTCGTGCTAATGTAAAATTTGCACATAACTTTTTTTTTTTGTCCAAAACTAATATTTGGGTCTAAATAAAGACATATTGGGTATGTTTTGTACAAATAAAAAACGTAAAAAATATTTAAAATTTTTTTTGAATAAAATAAATAAATAAATAATTGACCAATAATTTATTTTTATAATTTTTGTAAAAATCAGATAACAATTTGTCCTCAGAAACTATAAAAGGAATGATTAATCAATTATTTTTTATTTATTTTACTCTAAAAAATTATTTATACGATTTTCTATTTGTATAAAATTTTGTAATTTAAATTTTTATTTAAACCCAAATATTACTTTTGGACAAAGAGATTGTTTCATACAAACTTGACATTAATACAAGAGAACTTCACGTAATAAATAAAACATAGAGTGTTTTGAGTATTTTTATTAAAACACAAGAGAGAGTGTTATATAATTTATTTTAGAGCAATACTTCAAAATTTGCAATACAAAGAATAATACATCAAAAACATAAAAACATACTTATCGAC